CAGTTAATATAACCTTTCTCCTCTACTATATGGCCTCATTAACACGATGAATCCTGGGAAAGCATTTGAACTTGGACTTTGGGATTGAGAGTTAGAAGGAAAATGACTGGCAGGAGAAGAGTGAGAAAACCTGATACCCTTGAATACAACAAGTGCTACCCGGCCCTTTCTGCTCCAGAAGCTTGGTGCCCTCAGGGTTCAGTCTGTTCATATACACAGACTGTCTAGACCACAGAGAAAAGGATGGGGGTAAAATACCAGCTCACCTCTGTAGTTGCTCACTATGTTTCCATAAGCAAAAGAAAGACGGCAGGCAAGTGTCTGGCTTAGTGGGAAATGATGTTTCTGAACTTCAGTCCCCACCCTTGCCCCTACCCACAGAGTAATAACCCCAGAGAGAGACCACCCTGCCTCATGCCCTGTCCTGTCCCACGTAGGGTCACTTCAGAGCAGAAAGGAAGGGCTCCCATCAGCCCCTCTTGAAGAGCTATCCTGTTCCCCACCATCTGATTACCGAGACATTCTGAAGAACCTGTGCTTTCAGCAGCCGGACACTTGTGACGTCATCCTGAGCTTGCTTTGGAAACAGAAAGAAAAGATGTCTCCAGGTTAGGGATAGGTACAGGAGCCAATCTTGCTGATACACTGTTAGCCAACTCCAAACTCTATCCCATCTGTAAGACTTCGGAGGTCAGAGGGACCAGAGGAGGATCCAGGAAGAGTCGTAATGAGCTAGCTCCTGGGGAGGAGGTGCAGATCTGTCTACAGAAAACCGCTAAGCTTACTCATCCCAAAGGGACACATGGACCGACAGGGGTCCTTAGAGCCTGACCACAGACTTGAAACAGGTCATTTGCTTCATATAAGACACAAGAAAATACGCCTTTTGGCTTTAGGAGCCACAAAGGGTAAGGTTCATCTCCACGGTTCCTATGGGAAGCAGATGGGAGCACCTAGGAGCTGTCTCTTGCTCTTGGAGAACTCTCCAAAGCTCAGCCTCTCATCCTGCTCCTTAAACCTAGAGCTGGAGCCCACTCAGGATGAAGTCGGACCACTCATGGGCCCCTTTATCCCCCCCCCAACCCCCGGGCTCCACTTCTTTTACCTGAGGCTGGCCACACATGGCTGAGCGTCAGTTTCCTCACGGATAGCACTGATATATGCAACCTCCCGACCTCATCAAAGTTCTGATGTAGGAAATTGATTCAGAGAGCTGGGAAGGGACCCAGAGCCCTGAAAACATGTCCTCCCCCACGGGGGAAACACCCGGGAAGGATCCAGGGCAAGCCTTTACTCACCACGGTGTTCTTCACAGCCCAGAAGGCCTCCCACAGTTCTGGGAGAACCACCCCTTCCACTCGGCAAGGCCCAAATCGGAACTCATGACCCTGGAGCCCTGGCACTTGGTTCCAGACAAGAAGGATGAGGCTCAGGCAGGAAAGACTCTGACGTGCTGAGCTCATCTGTGTCGAAGACGGGCAGGGGCCTCTGGTGAAGGAAAGGAGGCGCTAGCCTGAAGCCAACCTCTGCCTCGGAGCTTTACACCCCTAAATAACGTTCCAGGGGTTGAGATAAGCCACCATTAGGAACACACAAATGGGATGCTGGGGCTAGAGAAACCCTGTGAGGTACAGAGAAGCAGGACCTTTTAAGAGGGGATGAAGTACCACATCTTGGCCTTCTTGAATGAATTCATGAATGTGTGGATTACTGGTTGATGGGATAGCGTTAGAGTGGGTTTTGTAAAAGCCACTTCCGCTCTGCCTTGTCTACCACAGGACACCAGGCACTGTCTGGGACTATGTGAGTGTGCTCTAGGATTATCAACCAAAAGGACTGAGCAAACATCACCCCTGATAATAAGCTTGCCAGAACGGTGAGACAAACATCTTCTCTTATAAACTGTCCAATGTCTAATGTTCTGATAGAACAGAACAGGTCCTAAGGCAAGTGGCTTCCCAGGGGAGAATACTGCAAGCCTTGCAGGGTGTGCTCGAGTGGAACATGGGTCCTGCCACCCTCCATCTCACAGCTGCTGGCGCTGCTACCTCTTTGCCCTCCATTATCATATTCATCTACCTCCACACACCCGCACCGCCTTCCTTCTCTCCATCACAGTTCTCCTGGCCACCAACAGAAATGAGGCCAAGAGGAAGGAAGAATTCAGCTAGGAGTACATCAAGAGATCCCAAACTCACTCGGTCCTTTGATTTCTAGGCCCTGCCCTTGAGTCACCGGGGAGACTTAAGCAGAACTATTTCTCCTTCCAGGAGACAAGCAGCCCTCACACCTCAGCACAAGGGATCCCAGGGTCAACCAAGGCCCACAGGGAGAGGCACAGAAGGCAAGTCTGGGTCACACACTCAACTCTGCCATCTCAGTTGGCAGACGCACTCCTAACTCTAAGAATTGATCTTTCCAGTAAGTGAAACCAGAAAGAGGGCTGTGAGTCCCAGGTGAGTCATTTTCAAAATGCTTCTCTGAACTGCCAATGGGAATGAGCGTGGCAGGCCCTCAAGCAGGAGTCAGCACCGTGCCTCCATGACTACCACAGAAAATTGTTTTCCACGCTGCCCTTGCTCTTTGTTTTTCTTCTCTCTTTCCTCTTTCCTCCCTATTTTCTACAACCATATAAAAGCCTTCTTATTCACACACTCTCCTCACACCTGAAGAAATTGTCTTCCAACCCCAGCATGGCAGAGAGAGGAGGAACCAGCATTGGAATGAACATGAACACCTGGAATAGGGAACAGGTACCCAACGCCAGAGCCCATTCTCATCTTCCAAATGCTATGGGCTTCCCAGCTTCTCTTGGCGTTCATCTCTGGGTCTATTAGCCCCTTGACCTTCCTCCCATCCAACACCAATTCTCCTTGCTGTTAAGCGTGAATAAGCAACTCCTCATTCGGTTATTGCCTTCTATAAACATTCAAAAGGTTGATTTATGCCAATCGGCCCTTAAGTCTGCATTCCCAAACAAGGCCACAACCTAAAACTTGAGAGCAAAGGCTGTGGAAAGCCCCACCACTCACCTCAGGTCCTGAAGTGATGCTTGGGGCTTCTATTTGAAAGTGGCTGGTTCTGTCTGCGGTGGGAAAAATTGGACAAGCTCTCTCAGCATTCATTGGTAGGGGGTATTCTTGTGGTTAGAAAGTTCCCGTCTCAGTGGCGGAAGCGATTTCAAGAGTAAGAGTGTGTCCAGGTGAGCGAGGCTGGGAGAACTGTATATAAGGGGTCTGGCAGGGAGTGGCAGAATTAGAGAGGAATGTGGAGGAAGGGAAATTGGTCATAGTTCCCCAGAGAATTACTTCACCACCGAGTCACCCTTTGCTGGTAGACAATGGGGAAAGGCAGAAATCAGTCCCTCAGGTGAGATGAGACCTGGGACTGACCTCACCTGATGAGCTGATCCCTACACTCCCCATTGTCTACGAGTGAAGCCACTCACTTTCCAAGCTTCTCTGAACTGTAGTTCCTACATCTACAAAATTTTATTTTTAAAGATTCAAAACGATGCCTGCTGTTACATGCCTGTCATCCCAGCACATGGGATGTAGAGGTAGGAGGATCAGAAGTTCAGGGCCATTCCTAGCTACATATTCAGTTTAAGACCTATTTGAGTTACATGAGTTCCAGTCAAATAAATAAATAGTTTGGTCTACTTTTCCCATAAAAAAAAGTGTAAGGAGAAAGTATTAAAGTAATACAGAAATACTATATGCATTCTCTCCACATATAAACATACCACGACTATGCAAAGTGTACCAGTCTGTTATACTGTATACAACCAAATTCATTCAGTAATTATGCTCTGTTCATGATGGAGTGATAGCCCAGAGACCAAGGCTCGCCCATAAATACCTTTTTTTAATCCTCAGGGTCAGAAATCTTAGGAGTTTCCTGATTTGCATCCACCCATAGTCTCTGGGTTACAATTGTCCTAAGTATAACTCTCCTTGAGCACTGGGAAAAATAGTAATGTGTGCATGCACAAGCCCACAAATATGGGAGACCCTGGTATCCTAATAAGTTAGCCTAGGTCTAGGCTGCATGATTGAAGCACAAGTGCAGGCAAGAGACCTGACCATATCTCTGGCTAGCGAGACCTGACCATGTCTCTGGCTAACAAGACCTGACCATATCTCTTCTATGCTCAGAACAAGGGCATCGCTGAAGCCATGCATCTCCAAAGGCATACCCAGAACTGGGCATGCATAGTGATTGCCTTAAAAACACACAAGGAGCAAGAAAAAGCACAACCAGGTCAGTCACAGAAGCCTAGAATATACTAGTCCCTGGTGGGAACGGATACTGTTCCTGAGAGCTACAAAGACTAAGAAGGTCCATGGAAGGGAGCAGAAGGCAGTGATTAACTTGGTTTAACACGTACTGTAAGTATTTGCCCATGTCCTGGAGGAACACTGTTTGGGAAACAGCAGGTTCTGAAATCAAGGGTTGGCAATCTACAGGCTGAGGCCAGACCCAACATGTCATTGCTCAGCTACCAACAGCTTGTGTCTTAAAAATAGTTTTACATTGTTTAAATAAACAGCTAGAAGAATCAGGGAAAAAACAATATTTTGTGACAGTTTTTTTTAAAAAAAGTGAAATTTAGATCTCAAATATGTGTTAGTAGGACATAGCCACAACTTGTCCAACTGCCTTGGAGTTGCAGCAGAGGTTACACAGCAGCGAGGCCCACACAGCTTGAAACATCTACTCTGTGGCACTTTATAGAAAGTTCACCACACCCAGCTAGAAATTACCCTCCTGCACAATCCAAACATCTCCTTGGGCCTGGGTCCAGGCAAAGAGAATGGAGAGCCAAGTAACAAGACAAGAAGTGGGATAACATGGCCCAGCTCAGAGGGAAAGAAAGGAGAGTCATGGCACCGACTGTTGGCAGAGCTGGAGGATGTTATCCTGCTGTGACAGCAGCATCCTTCTCTCCGTGGAGTGGGTCACACACTGCCCTGCTTTATGTGTTATTCTTGGCCAGCAGCCTGCTCTACTGTTGCTGTTACCAGTTTGAGTCCTCTTGTTTCTGGGGATGCTGAGAGGGTTACATGCCTGTCATCCCAGGCTTCCCACTTTTTCCCCCCTTCAAGATACCAGTCTCCATCCTGTCAAAATATGCCCTAGTTGTGATAGGACACATATCTCAGAAGCTAGAGGTAGCCCGTAGTTACCTTTCTATCCATCCCTACATTCCTAAAACCCACTTCTGCTTTTGAAAGAAACCAGATTGTTAAGAAGTAGGGCCAGGGCTGGAGAGATGGCTCAGAGGTTAAGAGCACCGACTGCTCTTCCAGAGGTCCTGAGTTCAATTCCCAGCAACCACATGGTGGCTCACAACCATCTGTAGTGAGCTCTGGTGCCGTCTTCTGGTGTGCAGATATACATGGAAGCAGAATGTTGTATATAAAATAAATAAATAAATAAATAAATAAATAAATAAATAAATAAATAAAATCTTAAAAAATAAAAAGAAGTAGGGAAATAGATAAAGGGGAGGAGGGAGCAACTGGACAGCGAAGGCAAGAAACTGAGAAGCAAGGGAGCCCCAGGCTAGCTGCAGCTCTGTCTACTGATGGACTGCAGGCTGGCCGATGAGGCAGGCTGGCTCCTGGGCAGGCTGGAATAGTGGCAGAAGGCTGTGTGATACTGGTGTGGCTCTATCTAAGGAAGTAGAATGTAACTTTGACAGCCCAGTCTCAGGTGAGCCTGTCATCATACTGTTTCCTAAAAGGGAAGATGAGACAAAAAAAAAAAAAACACCACCAGACCCTAGCCTAAACCCACTGATTCTGATGACAGGCTCCAACATTCCAACATTAGCAGACCTGGCTTCTGTGTGAGCTGTTCAGGTCTTCCCTCAGTCTTGTTTCCATCATTATAACAGAGGCCCCAGTGGGCCTTGGGGACAGAGTGTCACACAGTCCTGCCCCAGAGTGTGGTCCATGAGCAAGCACCAGCCTCTGCGGATTGAACTGCACAGCGCCAAGCCTTTCCTGAAGCTACTGAATCAGAACATTCATTTTCAGAGATGCCTAAGGTGGCTCTCATTACATTGTGAGACACTCATATATAAAGCATCTGAAGGACTTGTCCCAGAGTCCTCCCACATGGAAACATTTAGGACCAAGAGGTCCAAGGGAAGGGAGAAAGAGCTAAAGCGGGAGTTCTCAGTGGGTGATTTTGTCACCAGGGTTCTGAGGGCAATGTCTGGGAACATTTTTGGTTGTCTTGACTGGTGGGCACTACTGATCTGAGGTGGGCTGGACTGGGAGTGCTGCTAAGCTCCTGCAATGCACATCTCTGCCCTCTCCAGGGAGAATGATGTCACCAAGACATCAGCAGTGCTGTCCTGTATATCTCTGTAGAGGCCGGATTCCACACTTGGAAAAATAGGTCTACTCAAATTCTGTCCCCCTCCAAGTCCCTCTAAACCAACAGAGGAGAAAAGGACTTGGCCACTGTGGAGCTCCTCTCCTTCATGAGACAATAGAAAGTTCACTAACCCTGAATTGCCCCTTCCCAAGGGGTGGAAAAAAATGCCTAGCAAGAGAGAAGTAATGAACATGTTAATTAGAATTTCTTAAAAGCCAAAAGGTAGGCGAGAGCTATGATATCACTTTTCTTCCAATGAATTGAACTTAATCTTTATTTTAAGACAGATGTCTATCTCCCCACTTACGGGAAAACCCATGCAGTGATGGATGTGGGACACCTTGGCATTCTGAGTCCTTTGCCCTGTCTGTTGGCAGGGCAAAGGTCTTCTGGATTTTATTTCAGCCCTCCCCTCCCCACTCCTCTTCTCCCTTCCCCTCCTCCCCCCTTCTAAATAGAATTTCACTAAGCTCCCCAGACTGGCCTTAAACTCCTGATGTTTTCGCCTCAGGTCTCCAAATGCTGGAATTACTATGATACAGTTATGTGTTCAGAAAAGGCAAATCTACAGGGGGCAGAGAAGAGACTAGCAGTTGCCCAGGGCTGGGGGTTGGTTAGAGTGGCTGTGGGGAACAGGAGTGAATGGTAAAGAGCACACTGTTTATGTTGAGGATAACCAAAATGTTCTAAAGCAATGGTTCTCAGCCCTCCTAATGCTGTGACCCCTTAATACAGCTCTTGGTGTCGTGGTAACCCTTCAACCATAAAGTCATTTTGCTGCTACTTCATAACTGATTTTTATACTGTTTTTGTTGTTGTTTGAGACAGGGTTTCTCTATGTGGCTTTGGAAGCTGTCCTGGAACTGGCTCTGTAGACCAGGCTGGCCTCGAACTCAGGGAGATCCCCCTGCCTCTGCCTCCCCAGTGCTGGGATTAAAGGGGTGCACCACCACCGCTCGACTTTGCTACTGTTTTGAATCATAATGTAAATGTCTGTTATGCAGATGGTCTTAAGTGACTCCTGTGAAAGGGATCTCGATTGAGAATTACTGTTGTTATATCATGGTGATGATCGCACATCTCTAAATGCATTTTAAAACTATCAAATCCTACTCTGTAACAGTCAGCCACAGGGGTCACCTCCAAGTTTGCTTTTACTAAAGAATAGGAAGGAAGAAAGAAAGGAAGGAAGGAAGAAAGAAAGGAAGGAAGAAAGGAGGGAGGGAGGGAGGGAGGGAGGGAGGGAAAAAGAGAGGGAAGTGAGAAGAGGAGGCTTCAATGGAAGTGAGATGTAGCTCATTCTCATAGTCACTAGAGTCAGTCCAAAAAGGCCTGCCTCCCTTTTCCGTGTGTCCCATCCATTCTCCCCACCTACAAGTTACTTTTTAGACTTAGAAAGCAGTTCTCTCCCTTCTCATGCATCATCAATACCATCCTTCAACCCTGAGTTTTATCCACCACAGAATTCCTTTCTGGTACAGGACAGGAGTTTAGTCAGCACTGTGAAGGAACCAGCTTCCCTTTTGGCAGCCATAACAGCCGAACACGAGCTTCTATGACCTTGTCCCAGACACTAGAAAGTCAGATGCCTGTCTCGTGACAAGGAACCAATCAGAAGTTAGCTGGTGGTGCTATGCTTTATGACTCTGGGTGTGCTTTACGGACAAGCGCACAGCAATGACGTAGAGAGCATAGCAACCACCCTGGGAGGGCCTATGGGCCATAACAACCAGTTGACCAATCAACACAGGGCAAGCCCTCCAAGCCTGGAGGCACACCAATCATGAGCCTGTGCGTACCCCTAGACACTCCCCTTACGCTGCCCTATAAGATCTTTCGGGAGCCCCTAGGAGCCGTCTTTTCTAGCCATCCACCATGGCGGGTGGGTGAAAGACCCGAGCTAATATGGGGTTAGCTCGTTAAATTACAATAAAGCCTTGTGCAGTTTGCAGTAAGCTCTCGAATACGCCTGGTGATGGGGTGACCGCGAACGTGGCCTGGGACCCCGGATACTTGAGTTTTTGGGGGTCTAACA